TAGAGACGGGGTTTCACCATGTTGTCCAGACCTGACCTCATGATCCACCCACCTTGGCCTCCCAAAGTGCTGGGATGACAGGCGTGAGCCACTGGGCCCGGCCTATTTTTAAATTTTTTTGTAGAGACAGAGTTGCACCCAGGTTGATTTCTAATGCCTGGGCTCAAGAGATCCTCCCACCTTGGCCTCCCAAAGTGCTTGGACTACAACAGACGTAAGCCACCATACCCAGCTGCTTACAATATTTTGAAGATAAAAAACGTTATTTCCAAATAAAAAAGATAAATTAAGTAAGTACTTAAAACTGCAAGCATATGACTACGGAGGTTTCCGAGCAATCCAGGTCCCTAAGTAAATGGAGACACCTGGAAAGCGGTTTGGAAGCAGGGCATTGGAGTTTCCTTTGAAATGCGGTATCCTAAATGTCCCTCTTTTCACCCCACTCAGGGAAGCAGAAAAGCAAATTCTTTCTCTCTCTCTTTTCCCCCCTTTAAATATCTTTAAGTCATAACAAATTCTCTCTTCTCTCTCTCTCTTTTTTTTTTTCTTTTTTTTTTTTTGATATGGAGTCTAGCTCTGTTGCCCAGGCTGGAGAGTAGTGGCACGATCTCGGCTCACTGCGACCTCCACTTCCTGGGTTCAAGTGATTCTCCTGCCTCAGCCTCCCGAGTAGCTGGGACTACAGGCATGCACCAACATGCCCAGCTAATATTTTGTATTTTTAGTAGAGACAGGGTTTCACCATGTTAGCCAAAATGGTCTCGATCTCCTGACCTCATGATCCGCCCACCTCAGTCTCCCAAAGTGCTGGGATTACAGGTGTGAGCCACCACACCCAGCCCTCTCTCTTTTTTAAGAGATGGAGTCTCATTCTGTTATCCAGGCTAGAGTGCAGTGATGGGACCTCCTGGGCTCAAGTCATCCTCCTGCCTCAACCTCCCGAGTAGCTGCGACTACAGGTGTATGCCAACCACACCTAGCTCAAATTTTCTTTTTTCAACTCTGATTTGTTCCACATTCACCTCTTGAATTCTGCTACCTTTTCTCCCATGCTGGGTAAGTATGACATCAAGCTTGGGAAGTTTCTAGATTCAATGCTGTTTGCAGCAGGGCCAGGACTAGGGTGAGGAAGTAAGATAAGTGTTGAGCTGGGATGCAAATTTAAAGGGGTCCAGTAATCCCAGTAATCAAGTATATCATCCATTTTCATACCTGAGACTGCGTAACTTATAAAGAAAAAGAGGTTTAATGGACTCACAGTTCCACACGGCTGGGGAGGCCTCATAATGATGGTGGAAGGCAAAGGAGGAGCAAAGGCATGTCTTACGTGGCAGCAGGAAACAGCACGTGTGCAAGGGAACTGGCCTTTATAAAACCACCAGATCTCATGAGACGTATTCACTATCATGAGAACAGCATGAGAAAAACCCACCCCCATGATTCAATTACCTCCCATGGTGTCCCTCTCATGACATGTGAGGATTATGGGCGCTATAATTCAAGATGGGATTTGGGTGGGGACACACCATATCATTAAAACAAATAATATTTTAACGTGATACTTTTAAAAATAAAAATAAATGCAAAAAAAACCCATGATAAAAAAAAAATCAACATGTTAAAAACAGACAGGATCAGAATTACTGCTTTGTGCTTTTGGCTCTGGCTCTGGCTCTGATCTTTCTCAGTGTCACACTGACTGACAGACAGAACCTTGCGATCCAGGTGTCCATGAGTCTCATACTGCCAGGTCCTGTTATCTCACCTCAGGAATGACAATTCTTGGGGTGACCTAAACCATTTTCTTGGAAATACCCACTCACCTCCTCTCATTTTAAGTCCTTTCCTCTGATTGTATAATTTATAACTCAAGTCTCTGACCCAGGATAAAATTCCATTTCTCCTTTGGAAAGCCACTATTTTGCACTGGATGTGGGTGCTAACACATCAAAGGCTGGGAACTGTAACTATGGGCTTCCAATTCTTCTGGCGAATTCTAAACACAGGACTGTCTTTTTTTTCTTTTAAATGATATCCATGTTCAGCCAGGCGAGATGGCTCAATCCTGTAATCCTGGGGCTTTGAGAGGCTGAGGCAGGAGGATTGCTTGAAACCAGGAGTTGGAGACCAGCCTAGGTGACATAGCAAGACCCTGGCTCTACAAAAAATTTTAACAATTAGCTGAGCACAGTGGCATGCAGCCGTTAGTCCCTGCTACCCAGGAGGCTGAGCCTGGATGATGACTTGAAACCAGGAAGTTGAGGCTGCAGTGTGCTATGATCATGACACTGCACTCCAGCCTGGGGGACCGAGTGAAACTCTGTCGCTACAGAAAATTTTAAAATTATGGCCGGGCACGGTGGCTCAAGCCTGTAATCCCAGCACTTTGGGAGGCCGAGAACGGGCCGGATCACGAGTCAGAATCGAGACCATGCTCTGCTACACACGTGAAACCCCGTCTCTACTACTACAAAAAATACAAAAAACTAGCTGGCGACGTGTGGCGCGCCCTGGAGTCCCAGCTACTCAGCGAGGGCTGAGCCAGAGAAGGCTAAACCTGCAGGCAAGCTTGCATGGACGAGATCTGGCCACTGCACTCCCAGCCTGGTTGAAACAGGAGCGAGACCCTATCAAAAAAAAATAAAAAAAGAAAATTAAATTAGTTGGTTGTTTTTTTCTTTTTTTTTTTGAAACAGAGCCCTGCCCTGTCACCAGGCCTGGGAGTGAGTGGCACAATCGCCACTGCAACCTCTGCCCGGTCAAGTGATTTCCTCCCAGCCCCCCCCAGATAGCTGGGATACAGGTGCGTGCCACCAGATGCTGCTGAGTTGTGTGTTGTTTAGTGAGACAGGGTTTAACCATTTTGGCCAGGATGGTCTCGATCTCCAATTCGGATCCTCCCCCAGCCTCCGAAATGCTGGATTACAGGCGGACCACCAAGACCCAGCCTAAAATAGTGATTTTTCTTCTCTTCTTCTTGTTTTGAGACGGAAGTCGGCTCAAGTCCCGCCCAGCGGAGTGCAGTGTGCAACCCGGCCTCACTGCAAGCTCCACCCTCCCGGTTCAAGCCATTCCGCTGCCTCAGCCTCCCAAGTACAGGGACTACAGCCCCATACGCCCGCTATTTGTTTTTTTGATTTTTAGAGAGACGGGTTCCCGTGTAGCCCAGGAAGGTCTCGATCTCCTGACTCCGTGATCTGCCCGTCTCGGCCTCCCAAAGTGCTGGGATTACAGGCGTAAGCCACCGCGCCCGGCAATTAGTTGATTTTTAATCGTTCGTGATGGTGCACACCTGTAGTCCCAGCTACTTAGGAGGCTAAGGCAGAAGGATCACTCAAGCCCAGAAGTTCAAGGCTGCAACGAGCTATGATCACACCACTACACTCCCTACAAATATTCTTTTCCCTATGAATGCCTTCACAGAAATGACCATCTCTGATGATTAGCATTCTAGCAGCTGTGATTTATCTCTGGGAACGATGAACGTTAGGTGACTGGAAATAACCTGAGCAATAATAGTATCACCTCCTGCCACGTCATCCTGAAAAATCTTGGCAAATATGATTCACTGAGGTTATTAATTAAGTGTTTATGAAGATGTTCTATAGCTTGAACTTGACCCTGTCTTCTGGGAACAGGACTTTCCTGGCAAAATATGACAATAAACCCTACTTTTAACATTCATTTCTACTGAGCTTCTCTTCTCCTCTCTAGGGTAGAAAGAATCTAGTCAAACAATAACAATAATAATAATAAGTTAATAATAATAACCACAACAGTAACAAGCATGTGGACAGCACTGTTTATTGAGTGCTGATATGCAGGCCAGGCCCAGGGCTATGCCCTTCACGTGTATTAGCAACTGAATGCTCAAACAACTTTATGGGGAGGTATTATTATCCCAATTTTATGATTACATTGAGACCCAGAGAGGTTAAGTAACTCACTCGAGGTCACACAGCTAAACAGAGGCAGAATGAGATTCAAACCCATACCTCTCTGATTGCATATGCTGGGCTTGGATCACCATCATCAACAACATCATTGTTAGCAGTGCATGGTGGCTCATTCCTGTAATGCCAGCACTTTGGGAGGTTGAGGCAGGAGGACTGCTTGAGCTTAGGAGTTTGAGACCATCCTAGGCAATATAGTGAGAACTTGTCTCTACTAAAAATCATAAAAGGTAGGCGGGCATGGTGGCATGTGCCTGTAGTCTCAGTTACTTAGGAGGCTGAAGCAGGAGGATTGTTTGAGCCCGGGAGATCAAGGCTGCAGCGAGTTAGCATTTCACCACTGCACTCCAGCCTGGGCAACAGAGTGAGATACTGTCTCAAAACAAACAAACAAACAAACAAAAAACAAAAAGCAACACAAAAATCACTTATCAGAGGAAGAAGAGAAGGATGAGAAAAATGAGAAGCATGAGAAAAATGAGAAATTATTGTTTCTTGAACACCATAAAGAAGTAAATAGATTGTTTTTAAACCCCAGAGAATGAAGTAGCATTGGGAGAGGCCATGTGAATTCACTCATCCAGCAAAGCATTCTTCTAGAACATGATGCTCCAGTAGACACCCCCAAACATACAGGTCACATTTATGGCATATTTGTCGTGTACTGTATTTTCTTATTAGCTCTGATATCCACCTGTGGAAGTGGGAGCTTTTTGGCACACTACCCATTATACAGACAAGGAAACCAAGGCCAGAAACATACCATAACTGACCCAGAATCCCACAGTTAGACCTGGGGAAGCCCGGATTCCAACTCAAGCAGACAACCCTAGGGCTTGTTCTCATCATCAACACTCTGTTGCCTCCCATTTCCCCCATGGTCGTTCTTTCCTCCAACAAATATCTGTTGTGCCTCAAATCTGTGCCCTTGTCTGGCAATAAGCAATAGGACAGCCTCAGTTTCTGTCCTCCTTCCCTGACACGTTCCCAAGCGTTCCCCATTATTCCTGTGACCTCCCACCCCTGCTTCAAAGCACCTTCTCTTACCTGCCCTCAGTTCTGCAGGAAAATCCAGATAAAATTCCCCTCTACTTTGTAGTTCAAAGCTAGAGGGACAGGCACCAGGTCCTCTTTTCTTCTTAACTAACCGGTAAGGCCCATCTTTTTCTGCCTCTCTGCCGTGTTGCCTTAAAGACTGCTCCTTGCTGTCTTGATCACACGGCTGGGCGGGATGCCACCAAGATCACGGGGAGGGGGTTGTTTACTGAGCTCACTGCCGTTTTACGCCACCCTGGCTATCATCTCTTTCCTCACCAACCAATGAATAACCAGGTCTCACCTGCTGAAAATGCAAATCAGTCTCCCACCTCTGACATCACAGCTGCACCTATGGCCTCTGTCCACGGAGTCTGCAACGATGAAGGCCTCACTCAGGTCCCAAGTTGTGCATTTCCTTCTTCCTAAGCGCTCACTTCCCCCTCTCATTAACATTATTGTAATATCAGCTCAATAAAATATCAAAGTCCTTTCTAGAGGTTATTTTATTTCTTGGACACCATAAGGAAGTAAATTGTTGCGTTTTGTGTGACTTTTTTTTAACCCTAGAGAGTGAAGTGGTGTAGGAAGAGATTACCTGAATTCATTAATCCAACAAAGAACAGAACGTGATGTTCCACTAGACACCCCCAGGCACTGGCTACTTTTTTTTTTTTTTTTTTTTTTTTTTTTGAGACAGAGTTGGCCTCTGTCACCTAGGCTAGAGTGCAGAGTGCAGAGCCACGATCTCAGCTCATTGCAACCTCTGCCTCCTGGGCTCAAGGGATCCTCTTGCCTCAGCCTCCCAAGTAGCTGGAACCACAGGTAAGAGCCACCATGCCTGACTAATTTTTGTATTTTTTGAAGAGTTGAGGTTTTGTTGTGTTGCCCAGGCTGGTCTTAAACTCCTGAGCTCAAGTGATCCACCACCCATCTCGGTCTCCAAAACTGCCGGGATTACAGGTGTAAACCACCCCACCTGACCTGGCCACATTTTTCTTTTGCTTTTTCTTTCTTTTTCTTTTTTTGGAGACAGAGTCTCACTCTGTCGCCCAGGCTGGAGTGCAATGGCGCCATCTGGGCTCACTGCAACCTCCGCCTCCCGGGCTCAAGTGATTCTCCTGCCTCAGCCTCCCAAGTAGCTGGGATTACAGGTGTTGCCACTACACCCGCCTAATTTTTGTATTTTTAGTAGAGATGGGATTTCACCATGTTGGCCAGGCTGGTCTTGAACTCCCAACCTCAGGTAATCCACCTGCCTCCGCCTGCCAAAGTGCTGACATTACAGGCATGAGCCACTGTGTCTGGCCGCCTGGCCACATTTTTCTATAGATACATCCCCTTTGGCAATATGCGGACCATACAGGTTTAACTCTGTCATTATGATCACCAATGGCGTGTCCCTTCTGGAAACAAAGGGCAGGCAGTATAAAACCAGCCCACATTTCAAGACAGTTGACTCGAATTCCAGTGCTGACTCTGGCACTCTAAGACTGTAATGTCTCAACTCCTCTGAGCCTCAATTTCCTCCCCATTAACCTACAAAGTGGGAACTATCTATGCTCCCTCCTCCTAGTGTTGAGAAGGGCTACAGCAGTTAACATTTGAGAAAGTTCGGACTAAGATTATTTCTAGCCACCTAAGACTCAGATTCCCAGGGATAAACCCCAGCAGACGGGATGCTAATCCATCACAAAGGGTTTTCTCTGAGAAGGAAATTTTATGTTCATACAGAAATAAAGAAGGAAGTAGACAATCCAGGGCTGCATCAAATTTCTGTATTTTTACAAATGCCAAAACAAACAAGATCCGTTTCCTGTGGCACTTGCACTTGGGGGAGTATCATTTAAAAGAAAAAAAGAATGTCATAGTTCTATAATTCACAAAAAGAATTGGGGTCTATAGTTACTGTTCCTCTTTTTTTTTTTTTTTTGAGACAGGCTCTTGCTTTGTCAATCAAGGCTGAAATGCGGCGGTACAATCACGCTGAAATGCGGCGGTACAATCACGCTGAAATGCGGCGGTACAATCACGCTGAAATGCGGCGGTACAATCACAGCTCACTGCAGCCTCTGACTCTTGGGCTCAAGCGATCCTCCTGCCTCACTCAGCCTCCCAAGGAGATGAGACTACAGGTATGTACCACCACGTTTGGCTAACATTTTTAATTTTTGTAGATATGAGGTCTCTCTACGTTGCCCAGGCTGGTCTCAAACTACTGGGCTTAAGTGATTATCCCCCCTTGGCTTCCCAAGGTGCTGGGATTACAGGCATGAGCCACTGCACCCAGCCCCAATCTTTGATATATTAGCATGAAATGCAAAGCAGTGGCTTTCCAATGGAGAAATGGAATTTTCTCCTGTGGAAGAGACTTGAGTTATAAATTGTGTCATCAGAGGAAATGAGAGGAGGAGGGTGGTGGTTTCCAAGAAGATAGTTTGATTTGCCTCAAGAGCTGTCATTACGTGGGTGAAAGGATAGTACCTGGCAGCATTTGACTCTAGGAACACCTGGATCGTGGGGTTCTGCCTGCCAATCATCGTGGAGCTGAGCCGAACAAGCTCCAGGCAAGAAGTCAAAGCAGTCATTTTGATTTTTTTATAGCTATAAGTCAGGATTTCTCAACCTCAGCAGTGTTGTCATTTGGGGCCAGACAACTGCCTGTTGTCGGGAGCTGGGGGGACTATTCTGTGCATTGTAGGATGTTTAGCAGTACGCCCGGCTTCCATCTATTAGATGCCAGCAGGACACCCCAACCCCATCCCATCTGCAAGCTATGACAACCAAAAATGTCTTCAGGAATGGACAAATATCCCCTGGGAGGTAAACCTGCCTCCACCTGAGAACCACTGCGCTAAATGTTACCAAGTTCCATGGACTTTGAAGCGTCTCCTCGCTCTCCATTGCATGGGACAAGGAAATCAGCAACTCAACATTTTCTCTAATAGAGTTTTCTCCCCTCTGTTTCTCCTCTTCTAGAAACTATACTATAGTTTTACATATTTCGGTTTATGACACATATATGCCCTATAAACTGTAATTATACGTTTCTTGTCTACAGGTAGACTGTAAGTTGACAATACTGGTTGTTTCCAGAGTGAGAAACTGGGTGGCTGGAGACAGACATGGAGGGAGATACTTTTCAATATTTGCTTAGACATCTTTTGGATTTTTTCCATTTTTCTTTTTTCAGAGACAGAGTCTTGCTTTGTCACCCAGGCTAGGCTCAAGCGATCCTCTCGCCTCAGCCTCCTGAGCAGCCAGGACTACAGGAACTCACCACTATGCCCACCTAATTTCTCTTTTTTGTCGAGATGGGGGTCTCCCTATGTTGCCTAGGCTCGTCTCGAACTCCTGGCCTCAAGCGATCCTCCGGCCTCAGCCTCCCAAGGCTCTGGGATTCCAAGTCACTGTGCCTGGTCTCTTTGGGGTTTTATATCATGTGGCAGTGTAACTTTTTCAAAAAAATAAGTTAAATCTTGAAAATTGTCTCCTGTGAATTGCATGCAGTATGAATAGCATGGTCCCATCTTTTTAAAAGATAAGTAGAAATAATCTCTATTATTACACCCAGGAGGAGAGGGAGAAATCTGGAGTAACACACATGAAACTCCAAGCAGCAATTATCACCAGGGCGTAAATTAGCGAATTTTTCACCTTCTATGCAAATATTTTTATAAATACAATTTTAAAATAACTTGCATGTGTATTGTGTTAGTAATTGGAGAAAACAACAGGAACAGTAAAAGAAAAAGATCTATTTCCAAGGTCACTGGGGAGCCCCTCAAGTTTGGGAAGTGAGGAAGAGGGAGAACCTTCTGGAAGCAGCAGATGCTGGGAGCCCCAGACACAGGAAGCAGGGACCCTAGATAGAGGCTGATGATTGAATTAGGGGGTACAATGAGGGGGGCATGAATTAAGAAGGAAATGAAAATCAATGAGCAGACGCTGGAATAGAAAGGATAGCTCTGTGTCATTGGATGGGTTATGAATTTCCCTGAGCCTGCCTCAGTTTCCTCAGCTATAAAATGGAAGTCATTATAATACATAAGTGGCCAACATTTATCACTACATTGTTCTATCACCATCTATGTGTGGGTTGTACTTAATCCTCACAGCAGCCCTATGAGTTAGGTACTACTAGAATCATCCCAGTTTACAGATGAGTCATTTGAAGCACAGAGAGGTTAAGTAACTTGGCCCAAGGTCACACAGCAAGAAAGTGGCAGAGGCAGGATTTTAACCCAGGTGGTCTGGCTCTGGAGCCTGAGTTCTATAGATGACTAGGGCTGGGACTTAGCACAATACCCGGCACATGGTAAGCAGAACAGATATTAAAGACTATGATTATGTTAAAGGTCTAGGATTCCTCATCTACTAAGTACCATATTAAAGGATGTAGTGCCTCCCCGCAAGAGGAAAGCACAATGTCCTTCCCAGCCCATGCCAGCCTTATTGTCCCCAGAAACTGCCGTGGACTTTTTTTTTTTTTTTTGAGACAGGATTTCGCAATGCCGCCCAGGCTGGAGTACAGTGGCACGATCTTGGCTCACTGCAACCTCCACCTCCCAGGCTCAAGCAATTCTCGTGCCTCAGCCTCCCGAGTAGCTGGAACCACAGGCATGCACCACCACGCCCGGCTAATTTTTGTACTTTTAGTAGAGACAAGGTCTTGCCATGTTCCCTGGGCTGGTCTGGAACTCCTGGACTCAAGTGACCTGCCCACGTTGGCCACCCAAAGTGCTGGGAATACAGGATTGATTAACCGTGTCCAGCCTGCCCTGGCACACTTGAAGTCAGCATTTGTCCTACCAGAACACAAAACTCTCCAAAACTTTGACAGGTGGAGATCTCTGGAAGGAGACCGTCTAGATGAGAAGCGGGTGGTAGGGTGCACCTAAAGTTCTAGCTACTTGGGAGGCTGAGGCAGGAAGATCACTTGAGGCCAGGAATTTGAGACCAGCCTGGGCAACACAGCGAGATCTCGTCTCAACAAAAAATTAAAAAATTAGCTGGGTGTAGAGGCGAGCACCTGTAGTCCCAGCTACTCAGGAAGTTGAGGTCGGAGGATCGCTTGACTTTAAGACTGAAGTGAGCTACAATTGTGCCACTGCACTCCAACTTGGGCAACAGAGCAAGACTCAGTCTCTAAAACTAAATAAATAAATAGATGCGAAGGGGTTCAAGGAAAAGGTGCTTTATTTAATCCTCCTTGGAGAGCTTGACCTACACAGCAACAGATCCTAAGGCCAGGAATGGAAAGGAGCATCAAGCATCAAATAACATGGACAGTTATAGCTGTCATTCATTATGTGCCAGACATTCTGCCTAGTGCTCTCCAGACATGAATGCAGATCATCCCTCCAACAGCCCTAGGTGGTCCTATGATTCTCCCCATTCTACA